TTATAGTGAGACTGAACTACTTAGTTAGACCCTGTCTCAAAAAAAGATAAATAAATAGATAAATAAAATGTAAAACCTCATAACTTACCATACTTAATGAAAATCAAATGGATAGCTGAAACATAGAAAGGCATCATCAATGGTAAACTAAAACTGAAAAAACAGGCAAAGGAATATACTGTGGTCAAAAATACATGAAATCTTGTCAACATATTTTATGCCAAAATCAGTTTTGAGGGAGCAAAATGTTCTGTAAATTTTAACAGTAACTGTAAATTTAGGCACTGATGTTAACTAAAAATACATATTATGAACAGCCAGCCTCACTTCTGCAACTCAAATGTTTTTTTAAAGCAATATAACATTTCAATTTTGTCTCAAAACTGAAATGCAATGTATTATAATAAAACAGTATCATTGATCTTGAAAATAAAAAGTATACATGTCTGTTTTCAACAATTCTAGTATCAATCACTCTAAGTCAATATTTAGTACTTCTATAAAAGCAGTAACATGGGGCTAGGAATGTGGCTTAGTGGTAGAGTGCTTGCCTCGCATGCAGGAGATCCTGGGATTGATTCCTCATTACAAAATAAACGAAAAAATCCAGAAGTGGCTCAAGTGGTAGAGTGCTAGCCTTGAGCTGAACAATGCCTAGACTGAGTTCAAACCCCACGACAAAAAAAAAAAAAAAAGTAGTTGTGTTTCTACAAAAATTTAACCAATGATTTTTTTTTTCTTGGTCCTGGGACTCGAATTTAGGGGCTGGGCACTTTCCCTGAGCTTTGGTGCTCAAAGCTTGTGCTCTACCACTTGAACCACAGTGCTACTTCCTGCTTCTTCTGATTAGTTTATTGGAGATGAGTCTCATGGACTTTCCTGGATGGGCTCATTCTCAGCCTCTGGAGTAGATAATATTACAGGCATGAACCACCAGTGCCCCGCTAACCAATGAATTTAAATAATAATTTAGTTATATCTTGTTTTACAAGGTGACAAAACAAGAAAATAAATGTAGGGGCTGGGAAAGTGGCTTAGTTGCAGAGTGCTTGCCTAGCATGCATGAAACCCTGGTTTCAATTACTCAGAGAAAAAGCCGGAAGTGGTACTGTGACTCAAGTGGTAGAGAGCTAGCCTTGAACAAAAGAAGCACAGGGACAGTGCCCAGGCCAAGTTCACGCCCCAGAACTGGTGGGGAAAAAAAGTTTATGAAATAGCTAAACAGTGGCTTGTGCCCATACTACCTGGGAGGTAGATATCAAAAGATTATAGCAGTTCAAGATAAGTCTAGACCAAAGTGTTCATGAGAGTCCATCTCAACCTAAAAAAGCTGGGTGCAAGCCTGGTGCTGGTGGCTCATGCCTGTAATCCTAGCTACTCAGGAGGTTGAGATCTGAGGATCGAGGTTCAAAGGCAGCCCAGGCAGGAAAGGCCATGAGACTCATCTCCAATAAACCACTCAGAAAATGGGAAGTGGCACTGTGGCTCAAGTGGTAGAGCACTAGCCTTGAGCTGAAGAGCTGAGGGACAGCACCCAGGCCAAGAGTTCAAGCCCCATGAGTGACAAAAAAAAAAGCTGAGTACATTGGCATGCACCTATCATCCCAACTATGTAGGAAGTGTAAATAAGAGATCATAGCTCAGGACAGCCTGGGCATAATTAAAGTAAAATTAAAGTGAAAAGGCTGGGAATGTGACTTAGTGGTAGAGTGCTTGTCTAGCATACATGAAGCCCTAGGTTTGATTCCTCAGTACCACATACACAGAAAAGGCCAGAAGTGGTGCTGTGGTTCAAATAACACAATGACCTGAGTTCAAATCCCAGAACTTGCCCTCACCAAAGAGAAAAAAGTTACAAGTAAAAACACATGGTTTTGTCTAATAATAGTTCTTTTAAGTGCTTCTAAGTGGTAAGAGTGCTTACCTTCCATGTGTAAGGCTCTAGGTTCAATCCCCAACACCCCCCAAAATATTATATAATTATAATACTTAATAAAATGGGAGTTGGAGTTAAGGAGGCAGAGGAAAATATTATACTGATTAAAATATAAAATATAAACTTTAGGTATATAACACTAAATAAATTAGGAAAAACAGTTCAGCGTAACTTGTGTTAATAACAAAACTAAAAAACCTTTTTTTGTCTTAATTTATCACTGACTGCCTCAGTCTGTGTATCCTCGGTTTATCTCTGCATCTGTCAGTCCTTGTGGCTCTGTTTAGTTCTTCTATTGTAATGAATTAGCATCTGCTTGTTGGTATATGTGCCTGTTAAATGCATATAATTTTGTAAGTCACAAAGTGGGTAATAAGATAGCATTTTACAATTAGGTTTGTTACTGGAGAGAAATGAAAATTAGGAGGAGTTTCTCATATTGGTCCAGCCTGTTAGATAATATATTACTCTTGTACTATTGCAGCTACTCATGAGAGAAATGATTCCAAGGAAAACCATGGCCATGAGATTGAGGAGGATGCTAAAAGTTATACATGTAGAAGGTTGTAATGCAGCCCTACAAATGTCCCCTACAAGTTACACAAACTATTAGAGACAGCCTAATGTACATATTATGATGCTATGTAATTTTTGTGTTTATGTTCCTGAGGACTTTTTTTTTGTAGGGCTTGGACTCTGGACCTGAGCTCTGTCCCTGAGCTCTTTAGCTCAAGGCTGGCACTCTACCACTTGAGCCACAGCACCACTTCTGGCTTTTTCTGTGTATGTGGTACTGAGGAATCAAACCTGGGCTTCATGCATGCTAGCACTCTACCACTAGGCCACATTCCCAGCCCAAGTATTTTTTTAAAAAACATACTTTACAAGACTGTGGAATGTGGCATCAAATATTAGCAAGCCTTCTTTGCACAACTGGATTTCACTCAACAAAGCTTGGATAAAAGATGGCCTCTCATCTACCAAATGCCTGGCATTTGGAGGACACTCAAGAAGGAACAAACATTATAAAAAAAATAAATCTTAAAAGCTTGGAAATTACCTGGTGCTCAATAATAATGATGTATTTGCCACTTAGAACATCCTAATAATCTTGATTTTTGTGATTTAATGTTTTTGTGTGTGTCTATGTGAACCAAGGGCCTTGTGCGCTCAATTGGCTTATTTGGTCACAGCTGTCACTCTACCATTTCAGTTATTCTAGCCCCTTATTTTTATGATTTGATCTGAGTAGACAGAATATAAAATGGTTGGCAACTTTTAAATGACTATATCAATTACAAAAATATATGCTTTTAAGGCCTCAAAAGGAAGGCTGTCAGAGTCATCTTATGTTAGTCATCTGAAATTAGTCATATCATTAGGATGACCATATGTTTTATTTGCCTTAGGCAGCCCTGGTTCATGTCTACTGTCCTGGTATAATTGTTAGCAGTGCCTGTTTTCACTCTCAAACAGTACTAATGAGTTACAGCTGCTATTCTATATATAATCAGCTATAGAATAAGTACACTGAAGAAATTTAAAGTATTCATAAAATAGACATATGAATAAATTATTGAAAATATTGTTATCAGAGTATATAATATGCAATTATTTTAAGGATTTTCCTGGTATTAGGAATATAGCTCAGTGGCAGGGTCCTTGCCTACCATGCACAAGACCCAGGGTTTGATATCTACCATTAAAGAGAAAAAAAAAGAAAGAAAAAAAAAAAAGATCCTCCCCCCTCACACAGAGAACCAAAATAAATAAATTACATGAATGAATGAACTGAGAAATACTAAGGAGATCTATGTGTCAGAGCAATTTTAAATATTCTGAAATAACATCATTCAAAGAAAAATATCAATCAGTGTAAAAATCTACAATGTCATATAATACTTCAAAGATGTAGAAATACTAAACCTATAATCCTAGCTACTTAATAGGTTGAGATACAGAGGATCAAAGTTCCTAGCCAGCCCAGGCAAAAAAGTCTGCTAGACTCCATCTCTAAAAAATATCCACCAAAAAACTAGCCTGGAGGCATTGCTCAAGTGGAAGAATATAAAGCCAGCTAGCAAAGCTTGAGGCCCTGAGTTCAAGTCCCACTACTAACTCCTCCCAGCAGCCCTCTACCCTCCTCCCCAAAATAAATCAAAATACTAGCTACTCAGGAGGAACCTGATTCAAGACCAGCCTGGGGAAAAAGTCTCCAATCTGAAAAAAAAAAAAAAAAGCTGGGTGTGGTAGTATGTACTTTTCATCCCAGCTAGCATGAATGAGAATCCTAAATAGGAAGATCATAGTCCAGTCTAGTCCAGGCAAAAAATAAAATTACCTTATCTCAAAAATAATCAAAGCAAAAAAGGCTGGAGGTATAGCTCAATAACAAAGTGCTTAACAAAAATTAAGAGGTCTCTGTAAACAGAAGGAAAAAGTGTGTGTGTGTGTGTGTGTGTGTGCGCGCGTGTGTGCGTGTGTGTGTAGCAACAAATTCTGGAGACTGTTTCAAACAATCTCTAGATAACAGCTACAAAATCTTCCCTTTAACATTATAAAACATAAGAAATCAGTTTAGTCATCTAAAATTTGTATCCTACCCATAGAACAGAACATAATAATATACTGGCTCATAATTTCTTTCTCTGGGGATTAAACTCAAGGTCTTACAGTTGCTGCACAGGTGCACTGGACACTTGAGCGCCCCCCAATCCCCACCCTGCCTCCAACTCAATGGTTTCTCTTTACAGTACTAAGACAGGTAATTTTAAACAATTCTTTTTTTTTTTTTTTTGAGTCTGGTCATGGGGCCTGAACTCTGGGCCTGGGCACTGTCCCTCAGCTCTTCAGCTCAAGGCTAGTGCTCTACCACTTGAGCCCCAGTGCCACTTCCGGCTTTTTTCTTTTTGCTTATGTGGTGCTGAGGAATCGAACCCAGGGCTTTGAGCATGCGAGGCAAGTGCTCTACCACTGAGCCACCTTCCCAGCCCCTTAAAGAATTCTTAAAGCTACATTTAAAGAGAACAATAGGACTATGAAAAAAGTATTTTATTCCTAGGATTTCTAGGTAATTGGCAAAGAAATGTTCTAGTCTGAATAGTAAATTCAGTAAGCCAGTGAGCTCAGCTATCACATTTGGAAAAGATATCCACATCACCTCCACTGAAAATGTCATTGTACAATTCTGCTTTAGAACACCATTTTCAGAGAAGCATAATCCTTAAGCATAATCCATTCACTTTACATAACCCTTATTCATTCATTCCAGTGTTTGTATTTTAATAAGTATTAAAAATATAAACTTATCCACACTGAATATTATGTCCTCTGTATATATGATACTTTGAGATTAGTTTTGGGGTTAGGGTTCTTCCTCTGGGTCTCGTGACCTTTTCCGGGAATTCAACGAAAGTTCTGTTTGAGATGAACATTCAATGGTAACAGCATCTCTAAATCCTTGAGGCTGCAAGATGAAGAAAAATACAAAATACTTTAAGAATTTTTAAAGATTGATTTTGCACATATTTTTTAAGTAATTTGTTCCTTAGATAGAATTTTCCAACTGTTGTAAATAAAGAGGATAAACCTCATGGATAGTACAAGCCAGGAACTATTTATATATATACTTATTGATTGGGAGAACGGCAGTTTGAGGCTAGCAACTCAAAAGTGAATCCCCAACTCAACAAAATAAGCAGGTACATGCTTATTCTAGTTATAAAGAAGGCTGTAAGTAGTATGAATACAGTTTGAGGCAGGCCCTATGCAAAAAGCAAGACTATCTAAAAAAAAAAATTATTTTATTTTTTTTGCCAGTACTGGGACTTGAATTTGGGGCCTGGGCACTGTCCCTGAGCTTCTTTTGCTCAAAGGTAGCACTCTACCACTTGAGCCACAGCGCCACTTTTGGCCTTTTCAGTTTATGTGGTACTAAGAAGGAATCGACCCAGGGCTTCATGCAAGCACTCTACCACTAAGCCATATTCCCTCCTCTGAAAAATAATCTTTGTTTTTTTTTGTCATCCCTTAGGCTTGAACTCTGGGCCTGAGCACTGTCCTTTAGCTTGTCAACTCAAGGCTAGTGTTCTACCACTTGAGCCATAGCACCACCAGTTTTCTGGTGGTTTATTGGACATAAGAGTGTCATGGACATTCCTGCCCAGGCTAGCTTTGAACCACGATCCTCAGATCTCAGCCTCCTGAGTAGTTAGGATTACAGATGTGAGCCACCAGCACCCAGCTAAAAAATAATCTTTAAAAAAAAAAAAGTTGGGCACAGTAGCTCACATCTGTAATCCCACCTACTTGGCAAATAGAGATTGAAAGGATTTCAGTTTGAGGCCATTTAATGCAGTGTTTGAGATCCAACCTCAACAAAAAAAGCCGGATCTAGAGATTCATGTCTATCATCTTAGCTAGATGGGAAACATAGAAAGGAGGGTAAAAATTCAACCTGGCTCAGGTAAAACATGAATTGTTGTTTTTTGTTTTGTTTTTGTCAGTCGTGGGGCCTGAACTCTAGGTCTGGACCTTGTCCCTCAGCTCTTCAGCTCAAGGTAGTGCTTTACTACTTGAGCTGCAGTGCCACTTCCAGCCTTTTTTGTTTATGTGGCACTGAGGAATCAAACCCAGGACCTCATGCATGTGAGGCAAGCACTCTACCACGGAACCACCTTTCCAGCCCCAACATGAGACCTTTTTAAAAAATAACAAAAGGGAGTATTTGGGGGTGGAGATTGGGGACTCAATAATAATAATAATAGGCAAAAGAGCTGGGATTCAAATAGTAAAATGCTTGTTTTTCAAGCTCAAGGTCCTAAAAAAAGGTTCTTATGACTAAAAAAGTCTAGCTCGGTGGTGAGGTGCAGAACTCCCCAAAAGAAAACAAAGATAACTGGATCTGTGGCTCAAAGTGGTAGAGCACTAACCTTAAGCAAAAGAGCTCAGGGATAGTACCCAGCCCCTTAATTTGAGCCTCAAGACCACCAAAAAAGAAAACAAATTTAAATTTTTGCCAAGCTCCAGAGGCTCATGCCTATAATCTTAACTACTCAGGAGGCTGAGATCTGAAGATCATAGTTCAATTACTTTTTTTTTTCTCCCGTCAGTTGTGGGGCTTGAACTTTGGGCCTGAGCTCTGTCCCTGAGTTCTTCAGCTCAAGGCTAGCACTCTATCACTTGAGCCACAGTGCCACTTCCGGTTTTCTGAGTGGTTTATTGGAGATAAGAGTCTCATTTATATTCCTGCCTGGGCTGGCTTTGAACTATGATCCTCAGATCTCAGCTTCCTGTGTAGCTAGGATTACAGGAGTGAGCCACCGGTGCCCGGCTTCAATTACTTTTTATAGTTGACAGATATTTGTCATATGAGACAGTTCCACTCTGATATTCCATATATACACACAGTGTACTTTGAATGAATCCAACCTTTCCCACAATACAATACTTTTAAGATTAAATATTCCACCGAATATGGTGGCACACACTCATAAAATCACAACATAGGAGCCTGAATGAGAAAGAACTCATATTCAAGGCCAGCTTGGACTATATATCAAGACTGTCTCAAAAAAATTAAACAAAAACAAGGTCTCTAGAAAGAAGAAAAGGTGCTACTCAGGAGGCTAATATCTGGGGATCACAGTTCAAAACCAGTCTGGGCAAGAAACTCTGTGAGACTCTTTTTTTTTTTTTTTTTTTGTCAATCGTGGGGCTTGAACTCTGGGCCTGGGGCTGTCCCTGCGCTCTTCAGCTAGCGCTCTATCACTTGAGCCATAGCACTACTTCCGGTTTTCTAGTGGTTTATTGGAGAGAAGAGTCTCACAGAGTTTCCTACCTGGGCTGGCTTTGAACTGTGATCCTCAGATCTCAGCCTTCTGAATAGGTAGGATTATAGGCGTGAGCCACCAGCACCCAGCTTCTGTGAGACTCTTACCTCTAATAAAACACCCAAAAGCCAGAAGTGGAGTTGTGGATCAAGTGGTAAAACACTAGCCTTTAGTTCAAAACCTCAATGAAAGCACTCAGGCCACAGGACTAGCACAAAAACAAACAAATAAATAAATAACATAGGGGCTGGGAATGTAGGTTAGTGGTAGAGTGCTTGCCTAGCATGCACACAGTCCTAGGTTCAATTCCTTAGTACCACATAAGCTGAAAAGGCCAGAAGTGGCAATGTGGCTCAAGTGGTAGAGTGCTAGCCTTGAGTAAAAGAAGTGCCCAGGACAGTACCTAGGCCCTAAGTTCAAGGCCATGAAATGGCAAAAAAATAATAATCAACTAAATTTCAGTTCAATTGTAATATTTTGTATATACATTTAGGGGATATTTTAAGCACGAAAAGTTTCTCAAATATGCTTGCTGCATACAGAAGTTGACAGAAGCAATTTGGAAATTATTTCTTCAGATAATTACTTCCCATCAACACCAAAATCCCATTCTAATCAAATTATACTGACTGTAATTTGAAACAGTACTGTGGATTCCTTCTGGCATGGGGATTTGTACAACGTTGCCAACCTGCTTAAGAGAAAGAGAAAAAAATAAACATATACAAACATCTAACTTTAATTTTCTCAGATGGTTGATTTTATCATTAAAACTGATAATTTTTACTATAATTCTATTGTATATAGAAATCAAGTAATATAAAAAGTACATATAAATCACAAAATATAAAAAGTATTTCCCTTGTAGTACATAATTCTATTGTATATAGAAATCAAGTAATATAAAAAGTACATATAAATCACAAAATATAAAAAGTATTTCCCTTGTAGTACATGGTATTCGATGCCTATAGTTGTAACTGCTTGGGTAGATGAGGCTAGATTGCCTGACCCCAAGAGTTCAAAACCAGCCAGGGCAACACAGCAAAACCTTGCCTCTTTAAAAAGAAAACAAAACAAAAAACAAGCTCCAGTGGCTTAAATTTGCAATCCTAGTTGATCTGAGAATCAAGATTCAAAACCAGCTGGGGTAGAACATATCCAAGAGGATTTATCTGTCTTATAAAAAGAATCTTATTGGGCTGAGAATGTGGCTTAGTAGCGGAGTGCTTGACTACTATACATGAGGCTGTGGGTTCAGTTCGTCAGTACCACACAAACAAAATATAATAAAAATTAAAAGGAAAAAGGAAAGTATATGTTTAAAAAACTTTATAAAAAACCAGGCACAAAAAGAAAGAAAGAAAGAAAGAAGGAAGGAAGGAAAGAAAGAAAGAAGGAAAGGAGGGAGGGAGGGAGGGAGGGAGGAAGAAAAGAAAGAAAGAAGCCAAGCACCAGTGGCTCATGCCTGTAACCCTAGCTACTTAGGAGGCTGAGATCTGAGGACCACAGTTCAAAGCCAGCCTGTACAGGAAAGTCCATGAGTCTCTTATCTCCAATTAACCACCAGAAAACCAGAAGTGGTGCTCACATGCCTCAAGTGGTAGAGTGCTCTCGCCTTGAGCTGAAGAGCTCAGGAACAGCACCCAGGCCCAGAGTTCAAGCCCCATGACCAACCAAAAAAAGAAGAAGAAGAAAAAAGAATCTTATCTTTAGTTAACCAACACAAAGCTAAAAGTGGAGATATGGCTCAAGTAGTACGGTGCCAGCATTGAGTAGAAAAGCTAAGGGAAGTTGTAAAGCCCTGAGTTCAAATCCCAGTACCAGCACAAAAAAATTCTCTGCAGGGCTGGGAAGGTGGCTCAGTGGTAGAGTGCTTGCCTTGCATGCATAAGGCCCTGGGTTCAATCCCTCAGCACCACATAAGCAGAAAAATCTGGAAGTGGTGCTGTGGCTCAAGTGGTAGAGCACTAGCCTTGAGCTGAAGAGCTGAGGGATAGTTCCCAGGCCCAGAGTTCAGGCCCCACGACCAGCAAATAAACAAATAAATAAATGTATGTCTCTGCAAACAATACATATAGATTGATAATATATAGACATAATTATTACATAAAACAGGGCTGTATACTTACATGAAATTTTAAACCAAAACCCAATAACTGATTCAGTAAATTTTTTAAGGATGGTACTATGAGGGTTAGAGGCATGGCTCAAGTGGTAGAACACCCATCTAACACTCAAGAGGCCCTAAATTCAATCCCCAAAATAATAAAAATCCCTCCAAAATAATAAAAATAAAAAGATATTACTTATGCTAAACACCAAAGGTAGAAGAAAGTATTTCATTAAATAGTACATTAATACCTGAAACAAAGGTTGCACCATATGATCCTGTATGTCTATGTTTATATACATATTTTATATTTATATTTTTATTATTATACTTATTTACTATATTTTATTATTTATATAACTATTTTGTTTATATGTATTTACATATAAACTGCTAGAAGAGTAAAATCAGGAAGTTAAAGCAAAGTATGGTGGCACATACCTGTAATCCCACATCACTTGGGAGACTAAGGAAGGAATGTTGTAAGTTCAAGGTTAGTCCAAGCTACACAGTGAGTTTGAGGCCAGATTGGTACGTATAGCAAGACCTTATCTTCAAAAGAAAGCTACCAGTTGTGGAGCAGGTTTGGTGGTCTACATAACAAGTTAGAGAGGGCTGGGAAGGTGGCTCAGTGGTAGAGCACTTGCTTTGCATGCTCGAGGCCCTGGGTTTGATTCCTCAGCACCACACAAGCAGAAAAAGCTGGAAGTGGCGCTGTAGCTCAAGTGGTAGAGCGCTAGCCTTGAGCTGAAGAGCCTGAGGGACAGCGCCCAGGCCCAGAGTTCAGGCCCCATGACCGGACCTCCCCCCCCCAAAAAAAAACAAGTTAGAGAAAAGTGGAAAATAAGTAGGTTTCATTAGATTGTTAGGTAAAAGTTATGTAGCCTTGCTTGGCCTTGAACTTGTAGTCTTCTTGACCCAGTTTTCCAAGTACTTGGATAACAGGCATCTACCACTATGCCTGCTCCACAACTGTTAGCTTTCCTTCGAAGATAGGACCTTGCTTGTCTCAAACTCACTGTGTAGCCTAGCCTAAACTTGAACTCACAATCTTCCTTCCTTAGCCTCCCAAGTGATGGGATTACAGGTGTGTTCCACCAAACTTTGCTTCTGAACTTCCTGATTTTACTTGTATAGCAGTTTCTCTATATATGTATATGTGTATATATGTCTCCATATCACTAACAGAGGTTCTACTTGATGTATTTCCTGTCTCCTTCAGTGTTTCTGAACAAAAGTTAATGTAAATTGGTTCATGTCAACAACAATGTTTTTTGTTTTTGTTTTTGGGTCCCGTCATGGGACCTGAACTCTGGGCCTGAGCGCTGTCCCTCAGCTCTTCAGCTCAAAGCTAGCACTCTACCACTTGAGCCACAGCGCCACTTCCGGCTTTTTTCTTTTTGCTTATGTGGTGTTGAGGAATCGAACCCAGAGCCTCAGGCATGCAAGGCAAGCGCTGTACCACTGAGCCAACTTCCCAGCCCAACAACAATGTTAACTGAAGATTTAGGGATATGGTTCAAATAGCAGTGTATCTTCCTAGCAAGTACAAAGGTCTGAGTTCAAATCCCAATTATGCCTAAATAAATAAAAACAAAAGTACAGTGAGAGTTTTTTGTTTATTGGTTGGTTGGTGGTCATGGGTGGAGCTTAAACTCTGGGCCTGAGCACTATCCTTCAGCTCTTCAGCTCATGGCTAGTGCTCTACCACTTAAGCCACACTTCCGGTTTTATGGTGGTTTATTGGAGATAAGAGTCTCATGGACATTCCTGCCTGGGATGGCTTTGAACCATGATCCTCAGATCTCAGCCTCCTGAGTAGCTAAGATTAAAGGCATGAGCCACCAGTGCTTGGCTACAATGAGGGTTTTTCTTGTTTTTTTTCTTTTTGGTCAGGTTTTTGTTTTTTTTGGGTCGGTCGTGGGGCCAGAACTCTGGGCCTTGGCACTATCCCTCAGCTCTGCAGCTCAAAGCTAGCGCTCTACTACTTGAGCCACAACACCACTTCCAGCTTTTTCTGCTTATGTGGTGCTGAGGAATCGAACCCAGGGCCTCATGCATGCAAGGTAAGCACTCCACCACCAAGCCACCTTCCCAGCCCCAATGAGTTATTTTTAAAAAATCAATCCTAGAAAAAGACAAAAAAAATACAGCTAAAAAAAACCCACACAAGGGCTGGGATGTAGCTCAGTGGCAAAGCGCTTGCCTAGCAAGTGCAACGTCCTGGGTTCAATCCCCAGTACCAAAAAAGAAAAAGACAAAAAAAAATACAGTTAAAAAATCAATCCTAAAGACAAAATTGGAAGGCTGGGCACTGGTGCCTCATACTTGTAATCCTAGGTACTCAGAAAGTTGAAATCTGAGGATTGGGGCTGGGAAGGTGGCTCAGTGGTAGAGTGCTTGTCTTGCATGCATGAGGTCCTGGGTTCAATTCCACAATACCACATAAGCAGAAAAAAAGCCAGAAGTGGTGCTGTGGCTCAAGTGGTAGAGTGCTAGCCTTGAGCTGAAGAGCTGAGGGACAGTGCCCAGGCCCAGAGTTCAGGTCCCATGACTGGCAACAACAAAAAAAAAATCTGGGGTTTGCACTTTGAAGCCAGCCCAGACAGGAAAGTGCATCAGATCCTTATCTACAATAAACTACAGGGGGAAAAAGCCAGAAGTGAAGCAGTGGCAGAGTACCTGCTTTGAGCAAAAATTCTCAGGGATAGTGCTCAGGGATAGTGCCAAGGCCCTGAGTTCAAGCTTCAGGACACACGCACACACACACACAGTTTTGAAATTTCCAGGACACACACACACACGGTTTTCCAGGACACACACACACACACACACACACACGCACGCACGCACGCACACACACACACACACACACGGCCCTGAGTTCAAGCTTCAGGACACACGCACACACACACACACAGTTTTGAAATTTCCAGGACACACACACACACGGTTTTGAAATTTCCAGGACACACACATGGTTTTGAAATTTCCAGGACACACACACACACACACACACATACACACACACACACTTTTGAAATTTCCAGGCTGAACAATCTCAAATCTTTTATGTCTACATATCAGGAGACATAAATGAGTAATTAAACCAAAGAACCACTTGGCTCACAGCCCCTGCTGAGATGAAGCTTAACATATGGCTGAACTACATAGTTTGGGTCAGGAAGAAACAAGACAGAAGCACAATTTGTGCTCTAAAGCTGAGCACACATATGAAACACTGTGAGGGGGTGTGATGTATTACTCCACTCTACCACACCAGATCTTCTTGGCAAAGAATAGTATAGTTCTGAACAATCTTGGCCTCATATTATCATGAATATGCAAATTAGAGGAAAACCCACATGATAAGGACACAGATACAGCATTTCATTTAAGAACTTTTAGAAGGTTATTCCATTATTAGTCAAAAGTTAAATCAGATGTTGTTGGTAAAGAATGGGATCTGGTGCAGGATAACGGATCTAAGTTCAATTCTCAATATAAATCTGGCTAAATTAAATTTTTTCAGGGGGCTGGGAAGGTGACTCAGTGGTAGAGTGTTTGCCTTGCATGTCTGTGGCCCTGGATTCGATTCCTCAGCACCACATAAGCAAAAAAACAAAATGTTTTTCAGTTCTTTGGCTCCTTCAATATAAATATAAATTCCCATTTCTTTTTTGGGGGGGCGGGAAGGAGGGGGTATGGTCATGGGGCCTGAACTCTGGGCCTGGGCGCTGTCCCTCAGCTCTTTAGCTCAAGGCTAGCACTCTACCACTTGAGCCACAGCACCACTCCTGGCTTTTTTTCTGCTTATGTGTTATTGTGGAATCGAACCCAGGACCTCATGCATATAAGGCAAGCACTCTATCACTGAGCCAACTTCCCAGCCCCATAAATTCCCATTTCTATCCTTTCAAGATAAACTGGATTTTAAAAAGCATGTATTATTTTATTTAACTTTGGAGCTGGGAGGTACCTCAGTAGTTGAGCATGTACTTAGCATGCTTTACAAAGCCTTAGGTTCAATCATCAACATTAACAAACATAAATCATGTATAAACCAAGAAAAAAAAACTCACAACACAGAGTGCTGGTGTAATCCTTACTCAAAAGGCCAAGATGACAGGATTGTCTATCAAAGCCAGCCAGGGCAGGAAAGTTTGAGAGACTCTTATCTCCAATTAACCACAAAAAGCTAGAAGTGGAGCTGTGGTTCAAGTGGTAGAGCACTAGCCTTGAGCACAAAAACGCTCAGGGACAGCACAAAGATCCTGAGTTCAAGTCCCAGAAGTGGCAAAAAAAAAACAAAAAAAACACCACACAACTCCCACAAAACAATTTCATATAACTTTAATGATTTAAGGATACCTAGTTTTGGGACTGGGAATGTGGCTTAGTGGTAGAGTGCTTGCCTACCATGCATGAAGCCCTGGGTTTGATTCCTGAGTACTACATAAACAGAAAAAGCCAGAAGTGGCAAGTGGCAGAGTGCTAGCCTTGAGCAAAAGAGCTCAGAGACAGTGCTCAGGCTCTGAGTTCAAGCCCCAGTCTGGCAAAAAAAAAAAAGATACCTGGTTTCAAACAATAAAGAACAAAACTGTATTAATTCTTAATTACTAAATGATATCAAATTGTTATAAAGTATGCACATGTACATTACTTATCATATATCCACAGGAAGAAAAGGATTTTACTTAAAAAAGAGAATAATACTTCTTTATATTTTATTTTTGTTGGTCATGGGGCTTGAATTCTGGCCTGGGCACTGTCCCTGAGCTCTTCAGCTCAAGGCAAATCCTGTACCATTTGAGCCACAGCACCACTTCTGGTGTTCTGGTGATTAATTGGAGATAAAGAGTCTCAGGGACTTTCCTGCCCGGGCTGGCTTTGAACCGCAATTCTGAGATCACAGCCACTGGCACCCGGCTTATTACCAACTTTTTACATCAGTTTTCTGCTGAAGAAAGAATCCAGCACTGGTTGAATATCAGTAACCTGGGAAAGTCCAAAATACAAACTTATGAAACTTTGAGAGCTGCCATGATACCATGAGTGGAAATTTTTGTACTAAAATAGTTTGTGTCATGTATAAGATTATTAAAAATTTGTACAAAATTACTTTCTTGTTATCTATATACAAATATTCCAAAATCTGGAAAAAAATCTGAAACATTTCTAGTCTCAAGCATTTTGAATAAGGGTTATTTTATATATAGTGAGTTACTTCAGAATTAGGGAAAGAGTAAATTGTTTTGCTGTACATATTATGAAGAAAATAAAAAGGTAGTAGAGAGCTTCAGAAATGCCATTTTTAAAGAAGAGACAGCCAGGTGCGGGTGGCTCACGCCTGTAATTCTAGCTACTCAGGAGGCTGAGATCTGAGGATTATGGTTCAAAGCCAGCCCAGACGGCAAAGTCCATGAAACTGTTATCTTCAATAAACAATTCATAGAAAGCCAGAAAAGGTGCTGTGGCTCAAGTGGTAGAGTGCTACCCTTGAGCAAAAGAAAATCAGGGATAGCTTCCAAGCTCTGAGTTCAAAGCCCCAGCACTAGCACAAAAAAAAAAAAGAAGAAGGAAGAAGAAGAAGAAGGAGGAAGAAGAAGAAGAAGAAGAAGAAGAAGAAGAAGAAGAAGAAGAAGAGACAAAGAAAGAAGAGAGAGAGAAGAGACATAAACTATATGAACCATTTTGAAAGTCATATAGAGAAGTATAGTGAGTTTTGCTATTAGCTTGAAGTTAGTAAAATCTATCTTGTCCAGGCATGATTTTCTTCAATTTTTAAAGCAAATCAATGCAACCAAAAAAAAAAAAGTCACTGAGCAGACCCAATATGTATTTAGGTGACCCTTTTTGTTGTCTTTGTCTACATATGCTTCAGTTTCCTCCTTTATTAGAGCATTTCCATACCAAGTTCTCTAGGTTATGTCAATTAATAACAAAGCAGAAAGGCTGGCATAAATGTGACATTTTTTAAAATGCCGAATAAAAGACTTCATAGTTTTCAATGGCCTATTTTAAAGCAAAGGGAAAACTGGTTCATTCACTTGCTCAGCAGCTTTAAAAACAAACTCTAAGGTTTCATGCTGCCATGGCTTTATTTTAAAGAACAATACTTGTGAAAGGCAGGTAAAATACATGGGTAATAAAAGCAAGACAAGAAAATGGAAAAATTTTAAAAAGACACAATTTCATACAAGAATTATATCAAGCAACTAAAAACACCATCCTATTTCCACATAAATTGGTCCTAAAGCTAACCTCAAAAGTTCCCTTTTGTCCTGATTTTATTCTTTCAATCTCTTTTAGGAACACAGAGTACCACCTCCTTCTGCATGGTTAATAAATGACTTCAAAGAGTGTTAGAAGGTGGCAATTCCTTAGCCACCTACTTGTTTCAGGTGCATGCACCCCATCATTTAAATATTCCAAAGAATTCCCTATGTCTCTAAATGGGCGATATAACAGTGTGTTTCTATGTTTGCTCTAACTGATTTCAAAGAACACCACAAAAGTATTAGTTCATGGGTCACTGTAATCTCATCCTGGAGACTACCTCAAGAAACTACTAAGAGTTTGTAATAATACTAACACTCAGAATTATTAACTGGTTTCTATACTAACCTTTGCTTTTGATCCCAATGAAAAATTAGCCTTATTGTAGCAGCATGTCCCCAGCTTTCCCCTGAAAGAAAAGAACATAACTGTTGTAATGTCTTACCAAGTTATAAATTCCATAGAATGTCTCTAACAAATAAAAGTCCTACTTTACTAAATTTAATATAATGAGAATATACTTGGCTTCAAAATCCCTAGGACATGAGTAATATTCTAAGATATCTATATCTATATAATTTTATTTGAATAGGGAAATACTGCAAATGATTCTTCTCAGTTGCTTTTTTTTGCCAGTCTTTGGGCTTCAACTTGGGGCCTGGGCACTGTCCCTGAGCTTCTTTTGCTCAAGGCTAGCACTCTACCACTTGAGCCACAGCACCATTTCCAGCTTTTTCTGTTTATGTGGTACTGAGGAACTGAACCCAGGACTTCATGCATATTAGGCAAGCACTCTACCACTAAGCCACATTCCCAGCCCCTCTCATTTGCTTTTTGAAAAGTTTATAGTTTTGTTTTTTAGTTTTGGAAATACCTGAGTTTGAACTAAGGGCCTTAAAATTACTCAGCTGGCCTGATCAGTCAGTGCTACAACACTTGAACAATGCCTCCAGCCCAGCTTTTTACTAGTTAAAAGGAAATGGAAACTGCATTACAGACTTCTCTGTGGTGGCAGGTTTCAAACTGATCTCAGGCTTCTGAGTAGCTAAGATTATAGGTGTGAGCCACCAGTGTCTAGATAACTTTATAGTTTTAGTGAGTATATTTGTTGATATTCTATATCATCAGGATTAGTAATGTATTTCTGATACCCAGAAGAAGAATTAAAAAATATAAGAAATATTCTTTAAAAAAAAAAAAGAAAAAGATAAGAGTCTCACTATGCTGGCCTTCAACTGTTTGGGTTCGAGTAATCCTGTACCTCAGTCTTTGAGCACCTGAGACTTCAGGGGCCTATCAACATGGCTGTCAAAAACAAAAATATTCTTACAGATCTTAGTGGCAATAAATCCAGAAGCATTGTATTCTCACAAAAATCATACCTAAGATTAGGGATAGATTCTTGTTTATTTGTTGTACTATAGTTTGTATTTAAATAGATTCACTCTTCCTTTTAACTAAGATTGTGAGGATCTAATGGGAAGAATTATTATTATTATCATTATGGTTGGTCATGGTGCTTGAACTCAGCCTGGGCACTGTCCCTCAGCTCTTCAGCTTAAGGCTAGTGAGCTCTACCACTGTGAGACACAGCACCACTTTCCGTTTTCTGGTAGTTAACTGGAGATAAGAGTCTCATGGCCTTTCCTGCCCAGCTGGTTTTCAACTGAGATCCTCTAATCTCAGCCTCCTGAGTAGCTAGGATTACAGGTGTAAGCCACCAGCACTTTGCAAAAATTATCTTTGAAAGCTTATATAACAGGTACTACACATGATAGCTGCCAGATATTAGACATTCAATGGATGTAAAATAAGTGAAAAGATCAGTCAGTATCTCAAGGCACTTGCTTGGAACTAAGATGTATCACTAAACAAAACAAATACTCTCTGCTTTCATACAGCTTATAGCACTCAAGCATCAAATGCAAACACAGAAAAATTGTGATAAACTAAAACTATTTATTTCATATTTTACCCACCTAATGCAGGAACCAGCAAGGCCTGGTTTTTATCAATCTTTGTTGTCATTTGATTAGTTAAAATTACCTACAAAAGCAAATGTGAGCAAGTTAGGTGCAAAAAATTAGCATATAAGCCCTGTGATTCTAGTACTCTGAATATATTAACTGTTGAAAACATATTAGCTGGGCACTGGTGGCTCACATATAATCCTAGCTACTCAGGAAGCTGAGATCTGAGGATCGCTATTCAAAGCCAGCTCAGGCAGGAAAAGTCCTTGGGACTCATCTTCAATAAACTACTCAGAAAAATTTGGAAGTGGTGCTAACCTTGAGCAAAAGAAGCTCAGGGGCAATGCTCAGGCCTTGAGTTCAAGCCCCAGGAACAGCAAGGGTAAAAAAAACCAACCAACCAAACAAACAAACAAAAAACAGTGGGGCATGGTGGCTTGCGCCTATAATCCTAGCTATTTAGGAGGCTGAGATCTGAGGATGGCAGGTCAAGCCAGCCTGGGCAGGAAAGTCGGTCAGACTCTTATCTCCAATTAACCACCAAAAAACTGGAAGTGGTACTGTGGCTCAAAGTGGGAGAGTGCTTGCCTTGAGCTGAAGAGTTCAGGGACAGCACCCAGGCCCAGAGTTCAAGCCCCACAATCAACAACAACAACAAAAAATAGACCAAATAATTTTGTGTGTGCCAAAAGATAAACAACAACAACAACAAAAATCCCACAACAGCAGCAGCAACATCAGTTGGAGTGAACATTTACTGAAGGCTAAATACATGCCAGAAATTATGTTAAATATATTTTACATTCACTATTTTATCTAATCCTCACAACTACTCTATGCATTAAGTAGTTATTATTATCTTTTTTTTTTTCATGGGGCTTGAATTCTGGGCCTGGGCACTGTCCCTGAGCTCTTCAGCTCAAGGTAAGCACTCTATACTACTTGAGCCACAGTGCCACTTCCGGTTTTCTGGTGGTTAATTGGAGGTAACGGTCTCACGGACTTTCCTGCTAGGTCTGGCTTTGAACCGTAATCCTCAGATCTCAGCCTCCTGAGTAGCTAGGATTACAGGCGTGAGCCACCAGCATCCTGTTTGGGTACTGTTATTATTAAAGTTTTCCTCATAAAATATAGAAGTTAGAAATACTGAGTTGGAGTTGTATATTACTACTGCTTCTCTAGAAATCTTTACTCAAGAAATATAAATTTTTGCTATGTGCTGGTAGCTCATGCCTGAAATCTTAGCTATTCAGGAGTTTGAGAGCTGAGGAACGCAGTTTGAAGCAAGCTGGAGCAGAGAAGTCCATGAGACATTTATCTCCAATTACTGTGCAAACAGCCAGAAGTAGAGCTGTGCTTCCAGTAGTAGAGTGCCAGCCTTGAGCAAAAGAGCTAAGGGACAGGACCCAGACCCTCAGTTCAAGACCCAGTACCAGTGCAAGAAAGAAAGAAAGAAAGAAAGAAAGAAAGAAAGAAAGAAAGAAAGAAAGAAAGAAAGAAAGAAAGAAAGAAAGGAAGGAAGAAAGGAAGAAAGGAAGTGAAAGAAAGAAGGAAAGAAAGGAAGGAAGGAAAGAAGGGAGAGAGAGAAGGAGGGAGGGAAGGAGGGAGGAGGGAGGGAGGGAGGAAAGAAAGGAAAGAAAAAGAAAGGAAGAAAGAAAAGAAAGAAAGAAAGAAGAGAGAAGAAAGGAAAAAAGGAAAAAAGACGGTTTGCCTGGTGCCATTGCAATACCCTACAATGATTTTTTTTTTTCTACAAGGGAGAGAACTGTGGTCCATCTAGATTCTAGATGTGTGTATGTGTCCTGGCACTTGAAATCAGGATTCATGACATATTCCTGAGCTTTTTTTTTCCCTCAAGGCCAACTCTCCACCTCGTGAGCCACAGCTCCAATCCTGGTATACATGTGTGCATGCATTTGCATGTTCATGTTTGTGTAACTGGAGTAAGGGTCTCACAGACTTTCTCTCCCAGCTGGCTTCAAACTGAATCCTCAGATCTCAGCCTCCTGAGTAGTTAGGATTATAAGCATGAGCTACTGATATCCAGCCTCCATCTAGATTTTAATCAGATATCAAAAGGATTATATGATATTTTTAGGTTCTTCACCCCTTACATGCCACAGTGCTTTCCTCATTTGTTATTTTACACCAGGCATCTCAGAATAAGCTGAGCAGGAATTTTAATTGTTAATTAACTGTAATGTATGACTAACTACCATCTTCCAACATGCTGAGTAACACCTCTTACTGTACATAGTACCAAGTGTTTAAACTCTAGCAACTGGAATAGCTGTAGTCAGTTGTGCCTATACTTTTAGTTTAGAGGTATACTGTTAAATTCACAGCCATTAGCCAAATACAGACATTTGAATATTAACTAAAATTTAAGAGAGTTTGGGAATATATCTCAGTAGTAGAGTGGTAGCCTACTATGCAATAAGGCCTGGCTTTTTATACCCATGATCAGAAAAACAACTAGAAATTCAATTCCTTATTTTCACAATAAAAAACTTATTAAAAAAAAAAAGAAATTCAGTTCCTTAGTAGCATCAGCTATACTTCAAGTGCTCAAAAGCCATATAAGTACAATGCTATATTATTCATTTCTTTCTTTCCAGGAGTTTTATTGCAAACAACAGCTGAGATACAATATTTAGCGCATCTATTATATATCTTCAAGAAAATGTACGCTGGGCACCAGTGACTCATGCCTGTAATCCTAGCTATTTAGAAGGCTCAGATCTGAAGATCACAGTTCGAAGCCAACCTGGGCCTAGGACTCTTATCTACAATTAACCACTTAAAAACTGGCAGTGGGGGATGGGAAGGTGGCTCAGTGGTAGAGCGCTTGCCTTGCATGCATGAGGCCCTGGGTTCATTTCTCAGCACCACATAAGCAAAAAGGAAAAAGCCGGAAGTGACGCTGTGGCTCAAGTGGTAGAGCGCTAGCCTTAAGCTGAAGAGCTGAGGGACAGCGCCCAGGTCCAGAGTTCAGGCCACATGACCAGACCAAAACACAAAAAAAAACTGGCAGTGGTGCTGTGGCTTAAGTGGTAGAGCACTAATCTTGAGCACAAGGAGGCTCAGGGACAGCACCAGGCCCTGAGTTCAAGCCCCATAAGTGACAAAAGAAAAGAAAAGTGCTAGTTACCTAGCTGTTCAACACCTTAAAATTATATATTAGCAAGTATTTATTTTATTTATTTTTATTTCTATTTTTATTTTTTGTTGGTTGTGGGGCTCAAACTCTGTGCCTGGGTACTGTCCCTCAGCTCTTCAGCTCAAGGCTAGCACATTACCACTTGAGCCACAGTGTTATTTCCGGCTTTCTGGTGGTTTATTGGAGATAAGAGTCTCAAAGACTTTCCTGCCCAGGCTGGCTTTGAACCACAATCCTCAAATCTCAGCCTCCTGAATAGCTAGGATTACAGGCCAGAGCCACTCGCACCTGGCTTATTTTATTTTTTTACTGGTCTTGGTGCTTGAACTTTGGGCTGGGGCACTGTCTCTGAGCCCTTTTGCTCAAGGTTAGCACTCTATCACTTGAGCCACAGTGCCATCTCCAGCATTTTCTGTGATTAATTGGAGGTAAGAGTCTTACTGCAATCCTCAGATCTCAGCCTTCTGAGTAGCTAAGATTACAGGCATAAACCACTGACACCTAGCTCATTATTAGCAAATAATTAAGTAGTAAATGATACTATTTCAGCAAAAATGTTGTGCTGAACATGAAACAAGTAAAAATGATTGTGTGATTACCACAAGTTTCTAAAAAATATATTTTAATTTTAATTTTTTTGCTGGTCCTGGAGCTTGAACTCAGGGCCTAGGCTCTATCCCTGAGCCTCTCTGTGCTCAAGGCTAATGCTCTACTACTTGAACCACAGCAAAACAAACAAACATTCCAGCTTTTTCTGTTTATGTGGTACTGAGGAATAGAAACCAGGGCTTCATGCATGCTACGCAAGCACTCTACTAATAAGCTACATTCCTAGCCCCCTAAATTTTTAAATACTAAACTAGCAATCACTTTGAAACTATGAACTTTAGTGCTTTGAAAAAATACATCCAGGGCTGGGAAGGTGGCTCAGTGGTAGAGCACTTGCCTTGCATACCTGAGGCCCTGGGTTCGATTCCTCAGCACCACATAAGCAAAAAGAAAAAAAGCCGGAAGTGGCGCTGTGGCTCAAGTGGTAGAGCGCTAGCCTTGAGCTGAAGAGTTGAGGGACAGCGCTCAGGCCCAGAGTTCAGGCCTGATGACCGGACCAAAAAAAAAAAAAAAAAAAGAAGCTCAAGGATAGTACCCAGGCCCTGAGTTCAAGCCCAGGATTGGCACACATACACACAAAAGAGCACAATACACCAAACACAAAAGGCAACTGTGCAACTCTTTAGTCTTGAGTGCCCTCTACTGGAAGATCTAAACTGAAACTAACACATTAATGATGCTAAATTTCAATGTCAAGAAATAATGCAAATACACATCACTATATTTTGGCTTTGGTAAAAAGAATATGGTTTACAGAGGGGCCCATCAGCTGCACTGGACATAGATTAAAATGCACTAAGCAACCCAAAGACAGTGATGGGAAGGGAGGAATGAGAGGGAAAGAGGGACCAGCTTACACTAAGCAAAAGGAAAGAATTGTAAATATCACCTGATTTAGAAGACATAATTGTATTGTCAAAGCTCATAGAATTCACAAATTTTATAGACCATGATATTGAAAATTTGCCTTGTGAAGATTGAAATGTGTTTGTGACTTTAAGTATCACTATTCCACAATATTGTGAAATATGTGAAATTTATGTAATCACCTAATCTCAATAAAAAAAGAAAAGTGAGAGAAGGGGTGGGTTAGGAGCGATGGGGTGACAATGTTATCAGATATTTTGTATTCATATACTGTCTTGTAGAATAAGAACTTCTTTGTATAACCACTTAAAGATAATAAAAAAAATTTTTTTAAGAATATGGTTTAAGGAGCTGGGAAGGTGGCTCAGTGGTAGAGTGCTTGCCTTGCATGCCTGAGGCCCTGGGTTCGATTCCTTAGCACCACATAAGCAAAAAGAAAAAAGCTGGAAGTGGCACTGTAGAGTGCTAGCCTTGAGCTGAAGAGCTGAGGGACAGCGCTCGGGCCCAGAGTTCAAGCCCCAAGACCAACAAAAAAACAAAACAAAACAAAATTGAGAAATCAAAGAAATCATACAAATGAACCTGTGACTCTGCTTATTTACTTTTAGTCTATTACAGGCATATAAAACTAATAAAGATAAAAACAAAGAATCAAATAGTTCATCTTCTGTCACCTCTAAACAAGAAAGAATACTTGTGGTGGGATGTGGGTGCAGAGTGGGGAGTGATGGCAAACAGGTAGTTTAAAATTTGGGGGCTGGGAAGGTGGCTCAGTGGTAGAGCGCTTGCCTCACATGCCTGAGGCCCTGGGTTCGATTCCTCAGCACCACATAAGCATAAAGAAAAAAGCCGGAAGTGGCGCTGTGGCTCAAGTGGTAGGGCACTAGCCTTGAGCTAAAGAGCTGAGGGACAGCGCTCAGGCCCAGAGTTCAGGCCCCATGACCGGACCAAAAACAAAAACAATAAAATTTGGAATAAAACTTCATTCCTTTTGATCATATAATATTTATCAGAATGAAAAAAATAAATAAACTTTTTTTTTGGTCAGTTGTGGGCTTGAACTCTGAGCCTGGGTGCTGTCCCTGCACTCTTCAACTTAAGGCTAGTGCTCTACCACTTGAGCCACAGTACCACTTCCAGTCTTCTGATAGTTAATTGGAGATAAGAGTCTCATGGATTTTCCTGCCCCAGCAGACTTCGAACCGCAAGCCTCAGATCTCACCTTCCTAAGTAGTTAGGACTACAGGCATGAGCCACTGGCACCAGTCTGAAAACAAAACAAAACAAAACAGGACTGGCCTGCGGTTTGAACTCAGTGCCTGGGCACTGTCCCTGAGCTTCTTTTGCTCAAGGCTAGCACTCTACCACTTGAGCCACAGACACCTCCAGCTTTTTCTGTGTATATGGGTACTGAGGAATGGAACTCAGGGCTTCATGCATGCTAGGCAAGCACTCTACCACTAAGCCACATTCTCAGCCCCAAATAAACTCTCTTAAGAGAATGGAAAAAACAAAAATATTTTGGAAGACAAAAGAGTTTACTTCTATTTTTGTGCTGGTCCTGGGGTCAGGACCTAGGCAGCGTCCCTCAGCATTTTTGCTCAAGGCTAATGCTTTACATTTGAGCTAGTACTTGTGGCTCCTGTACTTGTGGCTCTCTTTGTGTGTATATGTGTATATACCAGTATAGGACTTGAACTGAGGGCCTACTACTTTAATTTAGCCTTTTGTTGTTGTTGTTCAGGTCCCAGGGCTTAGACTCAGGGCCTGAGTACTCTCCCTTTGTGGTTTTGCTCCAGGTCAGTGCTCTACTATTCAAGCCACAGTTCCATACTTGGTTTTTCCGTAGTTTATTGGAGATAAACTTTCCCACCCAGGCTGGCTTCAAACTGCATTCCTCGGATTTCAGCCTCCTAAGTAGTGAGGATTACTGGCTTTTCTTTTTTTTGTTGGTTGTGGGGCTTGAGCTCTGGGTTTTCTGAGTAGTTTATTGGAGATAAGGGTCTCATGGACTTTCCAGCCTAGGCTGGCTTTTTTTCTTTTTTTGTCAGTCATGGGGCTTGAACTCTGGGTCCAGGCGCTGTCCCTCAGCAATTCAGCTCAAGACTAGCACTCTACCACTTGAGCCACAGCACCACTTCCCGTTTTCTGGTGGTTTTTTGGAGATAAGAGTTTCACAGACTTTCCTGCCTGTGCTAGTTTCAAACCATGATCTTCAGAACTCAGCCTCCTGAGGAGCTAGGATTACAGGCATGAGCCACCACGCCTGGCTTGGTTTTTCTTTTTTAAGCAGTCTTGCTAGCTCAGATTGCCTCCAACTTAATGTATAGCTAAGCTAGACTCCTTACTTCAACCTCCTCAGTGCTAGGATTTATAGGCAAGTCCCACAATAGCCAACTTGGATTTTTTTTTTTTTTGGTCCGATCGTGGGGCCTGAACTCTGGGCCTGGGCGCTGTCCCTCAGCCCTTCAGCTCAAGGCTAGCACTCTACCACTTGAGCCACAGTACCACTTCCGGCTTTTTTTTTCTGCTTATGTGGTACTGAGGAATCGAACTCAGGGCCTCATGCATGCAAGGCAAGCACTCTACCACTGAGCCACCTTCCCAGCCCCCAACTTGGATTTTTTTACAGAAACCAAACCAAACCAAAATTACCTTCAAAACCCCATGTGTGGGCTGGGCATGTGGCTCAGTTGGTAGAGTGCTTGCCTTGCATGCATGAGGCCCTAAATTCGATTCCTCAGCACGACATAAGCAGAAAAGCCGAAAGTGGTGCTATGGCTCAAGTGGTAGAGTGCTAGCCTTTTGCTGAAGAGCTGAGGGACAGCACCCAGGCCCAGAGTTCAGGCCCCATGACCAGCACACACACAAAATAAACAAAAAAACAAAACCTCTCTTACCCAGGTGGCTTGTGTCTACAAACCTAAGTTACTTGGGAATTTCATGCCTACAAACCTAAATTATTGGGGATTGAGGCCTGGGGCTAGCATGGGCAAAAAGTTGATGAGACCTTTCTAAACACATCGTTGGGTCCAGTGCACACACCTGTCATTCCATACCACCTCAAAGGCTAAAACTGGGAAAATAGCATTGTCAGGCCCACCCAGGAAGAGAAATACTTGAAACTCAGTCTGCATAAAGGGAAGCTAGAAGTGGTATATGCATCTCATCCTATCCATCATAGGAAGCCTAGAACTTGGTGGATTACCATTCAAGACACTTACTTGAGTAGGAAAGAAGATCCTACCCTAAAAATAACCAGTGAAAAACAGGGCTAGAAGCACGGCTAAGTAGTATAATAGCAGCTTAGCAAGCTTAAGGAATTGAGTTTAAATCCCAATACCACCAAAACTCAGCCAGGTGCCAATGACTTAAGTCTGTAATCCTAGCTACTCAGGAGGCTGTGACCTAACAGATCATAGTTCAAGGACACCCTGGGCAGAAAAGTCCCCATCCCCCAAACAACCAGCAAATAGCAGGTATGAGTCAAATCCCAGTACTGTATAATCAGTCAAACAAATAAATCAAAAAATTCTCTTGACCAGTAATACTTACAGCTAATCTGTAATTATTTGCAAGGCTGATCATTTGCTGTGCCAGGCCATTTAGTAATCGAGTTCGAAGGGATAGATCATCAAGATCATGACGAAAAGGAAAAGCAATACCATCTACTATCACTAAACGAACCTAAACATAGAAGAAACAATGATGATTAGTTTTGGTGTTACATATAATGGCATCCAAAAAACATATTCCATTACAGAAAAAAATCCTTTATTTCGAAAGGCTTTCTTTTGTAAATTTATAAATCTATTCATGTAATAATTTCTACAAGAATCACTAAAATTTAAAATATAGTAAACTCTGGTTTGACAATTTACTAACTTGAAAAAAGGTAACTCAAAAAGAAAAGTAAATAATTTTAGTTTTCTTATAATTTGGCAGTGTAGACTTTTTTTTTGGGGGGGGGGGAGGTCTGGTCGTGGGGCCTGAACTCTGGGCCTAGGGTGCTGTCCCTCAGCTCTTCAGCTCAAGGCTAGTGCTCTACCACTTGAGCCACAGCGCCACTTCCGGCTTTTTTTTTTTGGCTTATGTGCTGAGGAATCGAACCCAGGGCCTCAGGCATGCAAGGCAAGCGCTCTACCATTGAGCCACCTTCCCAGACCTAGACAGTTTTTTTTTTGGTCAGTCTTAGGGCTTGAAATCTGGGCCTGGGCACTGTCCCTGAGCTCTTCAGCTCAAGGCTAGTGCTTTACTATTGAGCCAGAGTGTCATTTCCAGTTTTCTGGTGGTTAACTGGAGATAGAGTCTCACAGACTTTCCTGCCAGGCTGGCTTTGATCCATGATCCTCAGATCTCAGCCTCCCGAATATCTAGGATTACAGGAGTGAGCCACTGATGCTTCACTTTTCTTTTTTTTTTTAAAGAGTCTTTTTATGTGGCCTAGGCTAGATTCAAACTAATGATCTTGCCCCTGCATCCAGAGTGCTGAATTTACAAGCATGATCCAATATAACTAATTCACACACAGTTTTAAGAAAATATTTTATACTGATAATGAGGACATTTAAATTTTTGGCGAAGGCTAGGGATGTAGCTTAGGGGCAGAGTGCTTGCCTAGCATGTATAATTCTCAGCACTGAAAAAAAAATGTTCCTAATAATTATTAAAACAATAAAGAAATAAAACCAAACACAAGTCACTCACACCTATAGATATACCAACTTAGGAGGCTGAGATCCGAAGATCATAGTTTGAAACTAGCCCAATCAGACAAATGTGAGATTCTTTTTTTTTTTTTTTGGTCAGTCCTAGGCCTTAAATTCAGGGCCTGGGCACTCTCCCTAGGCTTCTTTTGCTCAAGGCTAGCACTCTACCACTTGAGCCACAGTGCTGCTTTTGACTTTTTCTGCTTATGTGGCACTGAGGAATCAAACCCAGGGCTCCACGCATACTAGGTAAGCACCCTACCACTAAGCCACATTCATAGACCCTCTGAGAGAGGGGCATCCAAAAAGCACATTCTATTACAAAAATAAAACCAGGACTTTATTTTCAAAGGCTTTCTTTTGTAAAGTTATAAATCTATTCATGTAATAATTTCTACCATAATCACCAATATTTAAAACATAGTAAATTCTGGTTTACTGAAAAGTCAGAAGTGGTGGTGTGGTAGATTGCTACATGAGTGAAAAAGCTCAAGGCCCTGAATTCAGGCCCAAGAACAACAATAAATAGATAAATAAATAAAAATAAGTAGAGCAGGGTGCCCGTGGCTCAGGACTGTAATCATAGCTACTCAGGAGGCTGAGATCTGCGGATCACCATTCAAAGCCAGCCCCCGCAAGAAAGTCAAGATTAAGGCCATGAGATTCTCTCTCTCTTTTTTTTTTTTTTTTTGGTCCGGTCGCAGGGCCTTGAACTCTGGGCCTGGGCACAGTCCCTCAGCTCTACAGCTCAAGGCTAGCACTCTACCACTTGAGCCACAGCGCCACTTCTGGCTTTTTTCTTTTTGCTTATGTGGTGCTGAGGAATCGAACCCAGGGCCTCAGGCATACAAGGCAAGCGATCTACCTCTGAGCCACCTTTCCAGCCCCAAGGCCATGAGATTCTCCAATTAACTACCAGAAAACTGGAAGTAAGGGGCTGGGAAGTGGCTCAGTGGTAGAGCGCTTGCCTTGCATGCCTGAGGCCCTGGGTTCAATTCCTCAGCACCACATAAGCAAAAAGAAAAAAGCCGGAAGTGGTGCTGTGGCTCAAGTGGTAGAGCGCTAGCCTTGAGCTGAAGACCTGAGGGACGTGTCCAGGCCCAGAGTTCAGGCCCCACGACCGGACCCAAAAAAAAAAAACAAACTGGAAGTAAATTAATAATTAATTAACTAACTAAAGTAAGAAAATTCAGTGGAATTATGGTTGGAGTGTTAAGAGTACCACCAAAAAATAGGGTCAAGGGACCAAGGACTGAAACATCTGTAAGTCAAAATAGATCTTTAGCTAGGGCTAGTGGCTCATGCCTGTAATCCTAGCTACTCAGGAGGCTGACATCTGAGGATCACAGTTCAAAGCCAGCCCAGGCAGGAAACTCCTTGAGACTCTTCTCTCCAATAAACCACTAAAATATTGGAAGTGGTGCTGTGGCTCAAGTGGTAGAGCCCTCCCCTTGAGCTGAAGAGCGCAGGGAAAGCGCCCAAGCCCAGAGTTCAAACCCCATGACCAACAAAAATAAATAAATAAATAAATAAAATCCTTATCTCTTTTTTCTTCCTTTGTAACAGGTTTTTACTATATAGCCCAAGCTGCTTTGAGCTCACTCTGGAACCCAAACTGGCTTCAAACTTTCTTTTTTTTTTTTTTTTGGGGGGGGGGTCCGTTTGTGGGGCCTGAACTCTGGGCCTGGGCGCTGTCCTTCAGCTCTTCAGCTGAAGGCTAGCACGCTACCACTTGAGCCAGAGCACCACTTTCAGCTTTTTTTTTTCTGCTTATGTGGTGCTGAGGAATCGAACCCAGGGCCTCAGGCATGCAAGGCAAGCGCTCTACCACTGAGCCACCTTCCCAGCCCCAAGTAAACAAATTTTTAAAATATAAAAAAAAATAAAGGGAAAAAAGACATGCTGACACAAGCCTATTATGCCAACTCTTGGGAGACTGAAGAGTATGGATAGTCTTGAGGCCAGCTTGGCCTAGATAGTAAAACGATCTCAAAACAAAAGGAAAACAAAAGTGGAAGGAAGTAGTTCAGTGGTAGAACTTGCCTAGCATAAGTGACTGGCAGCATACTGATTATGGTACTCCATGCCTGTAATGTTTTGATTCTTTCAGATCTTTGTCTTCATATTATAAATATCAATGTTTATATATACTTAATAATGTATCAATGTATATATTTTTATTTTTCTCAAAAGTGAGGTTATTAAGGCAACTTCAATTTTTTTTGTTGTTGTTCATGGGACTTGAACTCTGGGCCTGGGAACTATCCTTGAGCTCTTTAGCTCAAGGCTAGTGCTCTACCACTTGAGCCATAGCACCACTTTGTTTTCTGGTGGTTTATTAGAGGTAAGAGTCTCATGGATTTTCCTGACTGTCTTAGCTTCAAACCATGATCCTCAGAACTCAGCCTCCTGGGCAGCTAGGATTACAGGCATGAGCCACCAGTGCTCGGCTCAATTTCTAAATTACTATTATTATGATTACTTTGGCAGTACTAAGCTTCAAATTCAGGGTCCTGTTGCTTGTTGGTAAGGGCCCTACCATTTAAACTATGCCCGACTCCCAACTTCAATTCTTTAATCATATAATCATTTATCTGGATAGATTTTGTTCTACATTACATCAAACATTCATAAACACTGCAGCAAACATTCACAAGCACTGCAGCATTTGATATTACTGTTTGCGCTACTTATTTAATCAGAAAAAATGAAGCTCTTGGATCCAAAAACTTAGACCTGGGGGCATGTAGCTCAGTTGTCTGCTTAGCATGCATGAAGATGAAATGTTTTTTTGTATGTTTGTTTTCATTTTTGCTGGTCCTGGGGCTTGAACTCAGGGTCCGAGTACTGTCCCTGAGATTCTTTTTCTCAAGGTTAGCACTCTACTACTTGAGCCACAGCACCACTTCCAGTTTCTTCTGAGTAGCTTATTGGAGGTAAGAGTCTCATGGATTTTCCTGCCCAGATTGGCTTTGGACAGTGATCCTCAGATCTCAGCTCCGGAGTAGCTAAGATTACAAGCATGAGCTACTGGTACCTGGCATTGAAGATCTAGTTTTAATGCCCCAACACCACATCAACAAAATAAGAGCACAGGGCTAGGAATATGGCTTAGTGGTAGAGTGTTTGCCTTATATGCAAGAAGCCCTCAGTACCATATAAAGAGAAAAAAGCTGCTGGAAATAGTGCTGTGGCTCAAGTGGTAGGCTTGAGCAAAAGAAGCTCAAGGATAGGCTGGGAAGGTGGCTCAGTGGCAGAGCGCTTGCCTTGCATGCATGAGGCCCTGGGTTTGATTCCCCAGCACCACATAAGCAAAAAGAAAAAAAGCCGGAAGTGGCGCTGTGGCTCAAGTGGTAGAGCGCTAGCCTTGAGCTGAAGAGTTGAGGGACAGCGCCCAGGCCCAGAGTTCAGGCCCCACGACCAGACCCAAAAAACAAACAAACACAAAAAGAGTACATTTATATTTGGGCTGGGAAGGTAGCTCAGTGGTAGAGTGCTTGCCTTGCATGCCTGAGGCCCTGGGTTCGATTCCTCAGCACCACATAAGCAAAAAGAAAAAAGCTGGAAGTGGCACTGTGGCTCAAGTGGTAGAGCGCTAGCCTTGTGCTGAAGAGCTGAGGGACAGCGCCCAGGCCCAAAGTTCAGGCCCCACGACCGGACCCAAAAAAAAAAAAAATTCAAAACACATAGATACACATATATCCATGTATATGGGTCAAATCTGAATAGTATGTATATAGTATAGGTGAAATAAATACAAATAAATTGCAGGGTAGGGAAGGAAAAAATTTTCTCTACTGGCTTTTAATTTTATGTTACTATACTATTTAACCCTTTTTCTTTTTTTGTCAGCCTGGGGCACTGTCCCTGAGCCTCTTTTGCTCAAGCCTAGCACTCTACCACTTGAGCCCCAGCACCACTTCTGGCTTTTTCTCTTTATGTGATACTGAGGAATAGAACCCAGGGTTTTATGTGTGCTAGGCAAGCACTTTTACCACTAAGCCATATTCTCAGTCCTTAATTATCTTTTTTTTTTTTTTGGTTGGTCATGGGGCTTGAACTCTAGGCCTGGGCACTGTCCCTCAGCTCTTCAGCTCAAGGCTAGCACTCTACCTCTTGTATCACACTGCCACTTCCAGTTTTCTGAGTGGCTTATTGGAGATAAGAGTCTCATGGACTTTGCTGCCTGGGCTGTCTTTGAACCGGGATCCTCAAATCTCTACCTCCTGAATAGGTAGGATTACTGTGTGAGCAACCAGCGCCTGGCCTTAATTATCTTTTTAATGCTTATCCAAAAATCTCCAAAGATACTTGGTTTTTTTCAGTAGTTTAACCCATACCTTTGAGTGGTCTGAAAGGAAATCTGGAAGTAGATAAACTTGTGCCAGTAACTCTGTATAATCATGACATCGGAAATAATAAATATGAGAAAGAATATTTTCAAGAGTAAAATCCTCCAAAGCTTTTTGATGCTCTGAAACAAACAATAAAAAAATCTTAAGTTTACTTGTTTTGATATGTTGATAACTGTAGAAAATGTTATTGTTTCTTAATAATACTACTTAATAATTATATTCTGTATAACAACCTGTTTACTTTGAAAGGGGTAAAAAATATAGCTAAATTAGCTGGGTACCAGTGCCTCACGCCTGTAATCCTAGCTACTCAGGAGTGAGCCATCAGTGCCCACTTGCTTTCTTATTTTTACCTTTTCCACTCTTGTCTTAGATACTACACTATCTAGAAATTGCTTACTCATGAATAAAAATAGAATTTTTATGCCTGCCTTTTCATTTTGTATTATTGAGTTTGAACAGGAATAATAATGGACGTTTCTACAAATGTCTACAAACTAATAAGGAAAAATGTTAAAATGAAGCATTTTTCCTTGAGTGCGCTATTAAACAAGAAAGAGTCTGGGATGTAGATCAATGGTAGACTACTTGCCTGACATGGGCTACTTAATCTTCTTCTTCTTCTTCTTTTTTTGCCAGTCCTTGGGCTTGAATTCAGGGCCTGGATACTGTCCCTGAGCTTCTTTTGCTCAAGGTTAGCAATCTATCATTTGAATCACAGCACCACTTCCGGCCTTTTCTGGCTATGTGGTACTGAGGAATCAAATTCAGGCTTCATGCAGGCTAGGCAAGCACACTACCATTAAGCTACATTCCCGGCCCATTTAATCTTCTGAACCACAAAAAATAAGTAAGTAAAATCAAGAACTATTGCCAGACACTACTAACTCATGCCTGTAATCTTAGCCACTCAGGAGGTTGATATCTAAGGACTGAGGTGGCTTTTTTTTTTTTTTTTTTTGCCAGTCCTGGGGTTGGAAATCAGATCCTGGAAACTGTCCTTGACAGTTTTGCTCATGGACATGCATTCTACCAATTGAGCCACAGTGCCACTTCCAGCTTTTTTCTGTTTATGTGATACTGAGGAATTGAACCCAGGGCTTCATGCATGCTAGGCAAGCACGCTACTGCTGAACCACACTCTTAGTCCCAAGGACTGAGTTTCGAAGCCAACCTGAGCAGAAAAGTCTAAAGATTCTTATCTCCAATTAACCAGAAAAAGAACGAAGTGGAGGTATGTCTCAAGTGGTAGAGTGCCAGCCTTGGGCAAAAAAGACAAGTGAGTACTACAGACCCTGCGTTCAAACCCTAGTACTGACCCTAGTATACTCAAAATAAATAAACAGACAAAAAATTACATTTCAGAATTTCAAAATAGAAACACTGTCTATTGCAAATACATATTAAAAAACTAAAATAATTGACAGGTGCCAGTATTCACAACTGTAATCCCATCTACATGAGAAACTAAGATCAGAAACATTTGTTTTTAGGTCAGCTCAGGCAGAAAAGTCTGCAAGACTCCATTCAATGAAAGAAGCTGGGCATGGTAGCTCTCATCTGTTATCCAGGCTATTATGGGAAGTCTAAAATAGGCAGATGACTATCTAGTTGTACCTACAAAATAACTACTGCACCCTCCCAAAGCTAATAAACCAATTACTAAATGGGCAAAGGAGCTAAGAAGAGACTTCTCAGAAAAAGAGATAAGAAAAATAAAATGGTGAGACAAAGGACAAAGGGTGAACCAATGCAACAGCGTACTCATGAGACACTACATTGGAAATGGACTTTACAAACTGGGAGGAGGGGTGGGTGGGGGAGGCAGGAAAGTGGAAAAAAACGAAGGAGAGGATATGTTCAACATGAAATGTACTCATTATCTTACTTATGAAAATTGTAATCCTTTGTATATCACCATTACAATAAAATTCAATTCAATTCAATTTTTTTAAAAAAGAACGGCAAAGAAACACATGAGGACATGCTCATCATTCCTGGCCATAAAGGAAATGTAAATCAAAACAACTCTAAGCTTCCATCTCACCCCAGTTTGATTGGTCAACATTGTGAATTCGAACAACAATGTTGGCAGGGTTTTAGAGAAAAAGGAACCCTACTGCACTATTGGTGGGAATGTAAACTAGTATGCTACTCTGGACAGCGGTCTGGAAGCCCCTCAAAAAACTAAACAGAGGAACTAGGAAGGTGGCTCAATGGTAGAGTGCTTGCCTTGCATTCATGAGACCCCTCAGCACCACAAAGGCAGAAAAAGCTGGAAGTGGTGCTGTGATTCAAGTGGTAGAGTGCTAACCTTGAATTGAAGGGCTGAGGGATAGTGCCCAGGCTCAGAGTTCAGGCCCCACGACCAGAAAAAACAAAAACAAAAATTGTGGTACCAGCCGGGTGCTGGTGGCTCACGACTATAATCTTAGCTATGCAGGAAGCTGAGATCTGAGAATCATGGTTCAAAGACCCCTAGGCAAGAAAATCCATGAGACTCTTATCTCCAATTAACCACCAGAAAACCAAAAGTGGAGCTGTGGCTCAAACTGATAGAGTGCTGGGCTGGGAATGTGGCTTAGTGATAGAGTGCTTGCCTAGCATGCATGAAGCCCTGGGTTCCATTCCTCAGTGCCATATATACAGAAAAAGCTGGAAGTGGTGCCGTGGCTTAAGTGGTAGAGTGCTAGCCTTTTGCAAAAGAAGCTCAGGAACAGAGCCCAGGCCCTGAATTCTAGCCCCAGGACTGGCAAAAATAAAATAAAAATTGGTAGAGTACTAGCCTTGAGCAAAAAGGCCCTGAGTTCAAGCTCCACAACCCCCCAAAAAAAAATGTTGGGGGGGAGGGAGCTGGAAGTGTTGGTTTAGTGATAAAGAGCTTACTTAGCAAAGACAAGGCCTAGAATTCCAGTACCAGTAAAAAAAAAAAAAGAAAAAAGGGAAGGAGAAAGGGGGGTGGGGCGAGAGGAAGAAGAGAAGAAGAGGGACAGGGAACAGGGAACAGAGAAGGGAGCCTCGTTCTGGTCGCTCACACCTGTAATCTTAAACTATTCAGGAAGCTGATATCTGAGAATTGTGGGTTCAAAGCCAGCCTAGGCATAAAAGTCCATTACACTCATTTCTCAATTAATCACCAAAAAGCTGAAAAAGTGGAGGTGTAGAGTGCTAGCCTTAAGCACAAAAACTCCAGAGATTAGTAACTCAGATATTTGGTTGGTCAGGGGCCAGTGGCTCATGTCTGTAATATAAACTACTCAAGGAGGCGAAGATCTGACCATTTTGGTTCAAAACCAGCCTAGACACCAAAGTCTTTGAGACTCTTGTCTCCAATTAAGCACCAAAAAAGCCAGAAGTGGTGCTGTGGCTCAGTGGTAGAGAACTAACTTCTGACTTTTTCTGAGTAGTTTATTAGAGATAAGAGTCTCATGGAGGGCTGGCAAGGTGGCTCAGTGGTAGAGTGCTTGCCTTGCAAGCATGAGGCCCTGAGTTTGATTCCTCAGCACCACATAAGCAGAAAAAGTAGGAAGTGGCGCTATGGCTCGAGTGGGTAGAGTGCTAGCCTTGAGCTGAAGAGCTGAGGGACAGCACCCAGGCCCAGAGTTCAGGTCCCATGACCGGCAAAAATAAAAAAATGGAATTTCCTTCCCAGGTTGGCTTAGAACCATGATCCTCAGATCCCAGCCTCCCAAGCAGCTAGGATTACAAGTATGAGCCACTGGCACCTGGCTACTGTTTGCTTTTTGAAAACTCATTGTGAATTCACTTATATCAAAGTGTACATCAACTTTTTTTTTTTTTTGTCTGTCATGGGGCTTGAACTCTGGGCTTGGGTACGGTCCTTGCACTCTTCAACTCAAGGCGATTGCTCTACCGCTTTAGCCACAGCGCCACTTCAGGTTTTCTAGTGGTTTATTGGAGGTAAGAGTCTCATGGACTTTCCTGCCCGGGCTGGCTTTGAACCTCGATCCTCACATCTCAGCCTCCTGAGTAGCTAGGATTACAGGCATGAGTCACTGGCACCTGACTTGTGTGTGCATCAACTTATACCTGGCAAGTTGGAAGATAGTTTGAAATCACGTACTAAAATACCTGTGCAGGTTTTGCCCCAAAGTTACTACAGTAAGAGAATTCTCCAAATGAGGAAGAAAGGGCCAATCAGACTGTGACATTTCTTTTTTTTTGGTCAGTCATCAGGCTGGCTTTGAACCGCGATCTTCAGATCACAGCCTCCTGAGTAGTAGGATTACAGGCAAGTGCCACCAGTGCCTGGCTTGACATTTATGTTTTTAACTCAGGTATGAGTGTTTTACACTAATATACTATTAAGTCATGAAATTTCAAGTTTGGAATAGTCGCTTGCTGAGGTCTGAGAGTTGCAAACTATGTTATACAGAAAAGAAAAAAAGAGGACCATTAATTAACCTACCTTCTCCCATGTGTGCTCCTGCTGTAAGCTGAAGGTGCTGAATGCAGGCAGTGGCAATATCTATCACTCTATCAACCATAAAGCTTCCTTCTGTATCAATAAATACTGCTTCACCTGCTACTCCTCCAAAACATTCTGGTATCTGCACATCTACTGCCAACTGCATGCTGCAGAGAAATAAGTCCAGTGACTAAATAAATCATTATCATGATCTTCTAAGACAGTGTTTTCAAACGCCAGGTAATGACCAGTTAAAGTACTGAAAGTTTATGAATACATACATAGATACACTTGTGGGCACACACACAAACAAATGTGCACACATGCGCCTACGCACACATAAAAATAACAAAGATGGCTGATTCTCCATGAATCCTGATAAGTAAAAACACATGATGGCGCATGTCTGTAATCTTAGCTCCTCAGTAGGCTGTGATCTGGTTATCACAATTCCAAGCCAGCCTGGACAGGAAAGTCTATGAGATGCTTATCTCCAATTAACCACCCAAAAAGCCAGCACTAGCTTTGAGCAAAAAAGCTCAAGGAGCGGGCCCTGGTGGCTCATGCCGGTAATCCTAGCTACTCAGGAGGCTGAGATCTGAGGATCGCAGTTCAAAGCCAGCCCGGGCAGGAAAGTCCCGGAGGCTCTTAACTCCAATAAAAACCGCTAGAAAGCCAGAAGTGGCGCTGTGGCTCAAGCAGTAGAGCACTTGCTTTGAGCTGAAGAGTGCAGGGACAGCACCCAAGGCCAGAGTTCAAGCCCCACGACCTACCAAAAAAAAAACAACACAAAAACCTCAAGGTCAGTCCAGGACTGAGTTCAAGCCCCAGGACCAACACAGAGACACAAAAAAAGTCTGGCTGCTGGATGCTCACATTTGTAATCCCAGATATTCTAGAAGCTGAGATCCAGAGGATTGTGGTTCAAAGCTAGCTGGGGCAGATAAGTCCAGGAGATTCCATCACCAAAATAACCAATGAAAAGCTAGGCTGAAAGGATGGCTCAAGAGGGAGAATACCAGCCAAGGAAGAAAGTCTAGCAAATATGAGGTCCTAAGTTCAACCCCTAATACTACTAGAAAAAGGGGGCGGGAGACACACACACAGGAGCTGGGAAGGTGGCTCAGTGGTAGAGTGCTTGCCTTGCATGCATGAGGCCCTGGGTTCAATTCCTTGCACCACATAAGTGGTAGAGTACTAGCCTTGAGCTGAAGAGCTGAGGGGCAGAGTTCAGGCCCCACAACCAAACCCCCCCCCAAAAAAAAAACAGAAACATTTTATATAAAAATAATTTTATCAGATGGGCGCTGGTGGCTCACACCTATAATCCTAGCTACACAGGAGGCTAAGATCTGAGGATTGCAGTTCAAAGCCAGCCCAGGAAGGAAAGTTATTTTACCATAACTGTGTCTTTCCAACACCTGGAACGCCACAAATTTCTGTTGTTTTCATTAAGGGCACTCCACCCCCAAGAACATTATCTAGTGCTGAACAGAAGGTAATTATAAAGCCCTGAGTATGCTCTCGCTCAAGAAGTTCCAGTGCTGTGCACTTCTTGCCAGACTCTGATGTACCAGCACATCTTGATTTATTTGTGAGACATTCTCTTCTTATAATTTGCAGGGTTTCTAAGGCTTCCTCTTTTGATATCCCAATTTCTGTAAGTAAAACGAGAAAAAAAAGATTTTCAGGATGTGCTATACTTACAAACTGTTAAATACTTTTGTACAACTATTTAAAGATAATGAAAATGGAAAAGAAAAAAATGATTATAGAGATTTCAAAGTATAACATGGTAATAGGTTTTCTTCATTAATTTTAACTTTCAAATAACAAGAGTGATGCTAACGGATGGGAATATAGCTCCATGGCAGAGTATTTGTTTAGCATGCGTATAGTCCTGGGTTCAATGCCCAATATTGGAAAAAAAATAAAATGTTCTAAAATTCCATGCTATCTTCCTCATCAAATGGCACAGGTCTAGGCATATCATCAGAGAGGAACCAGTTTCATTTCTGTAGTTCAGAATATAATGGTTCCCATTCATATAAAACCAGTCAGAGCTCTGGAAAATGAGGTTTTGGGTTTTTTCAGTGAATTTCAAATAAGAAAGGAGAGGGTGTTTTCTTTCTACTGCTTTCTCCAGGTCTATAGGAATAATTTATTCCCTTTCTCACTTAAGAATCTCTAGTCTTACTTGAAACCTTCAATTCTGAAATTGAACCCCCATCTGTTTGAATTCTTTAAACAGTGAAAACTGGATAGCCTATGCGGTTTCCAATGCTAGTTCCACTATTTCCTTATCAAGGTATTGGGAAGTTAATTAATCTCAAGATTGGAGAAAGAAATGGGAGTTGTGGCTCAAGACATGGAGTGCCAAGCTGGGCATAGGTGGCTCACACCTGTAATCCTAGCTACTTAGGAGGCTGAGATCTGAAGATTGTGGTTCAAAGTAGCAGGAAATTCCGTGAGACTCTTATCTCCAATAAACTATTCAGAAAACCAGAAGTGGCGCTGTGGCTCAAGTGGTAGAGTGCTCGCCTTGAGCTGAAGAGCTGGACACCAGGCCCGCGACGACAAGCCCCACGACCGACCAAAAAAAAAAGAAAATAGACATGGAATGCCAAGCATAAGGGGGAAAAAATAGTCTAAGGCCAAGCCCCAGTAAACCCCACCCCCCCATGAAAGATGAGATGAAGGAGTGGCTCAAGCTCCTACACCACTAAAGGAGGAACAGGAGGGGGGGGAAGGAGGGGGAAGAGGAGAAGGGAGGTGGTGGAGGAGGTGGAGGTGGAGG